CATGGAGATTATGCAGCTGGTTTGGCCACCATGCTGTTTCATCGGCCGGCATCCCGACTCGCAGACTTACTGGAGCAGCAACTTGTGACATGGATCTTTGCATCAGTCTGCGACTTCCTTGCTTCCAGATCAGACCTCATTGCAGTTCGTGGACCGGACGCACCCTAGCACTTGGACTTTGGGCATTTGAACTACTGATACGCTTCTTGGACTTCTACCTGTCGCAGCCGTTGAGGACCGCTTCTACCACCTACTCCAAGACCTGATCAAGACCGCTGCAGATCCCCAGTCAAGACCCTTGGACACTTTGTTCCTTGGACACTTTGTTCATTGGACACTTTGTTCCTACATGAGATCTTGCTTCCCACTCCTTCGGACATACCAGGCCCTGCATCCTGAACAAACACTTTCATTTTTCCTGACAACCCTGTAGAACATCATTAGAAAACCCCTGTTCCCCTAACCATTGTTTCCCTTACTCACTAGAACATCAATAGAAATTCCCTGTTTCCCCGATCATTGTTCCCCTTACCCACTAGAACATCAATATAAATTCCTTGTTTTCCTGGACATTGTTTCCCCTTACCCAGTAGAACATCAATAGAAATCCCCTGTTCCCTGAACATTTCTTAGCTTCCCCTGTAGACCTAACCAGTTACATCATACCTTCACCTGTGCAGAACATCTGACAGAATACCTTGTGACTTGCATCACTCCCCTTCTCCTTTTCCGACCAGCGATCGGCCCTGTCCCGTCCTTCACAGTTCCTTTCTGTTTCCTTAGGTTTTTGGCAATCGGGACGTTGCCTTTCAAAGGGAGGGGATAGTGTTACGGACTCCGCCAGGGCTCGACCCCTTGTCTATTTTGTTGCTGTTTTTGCTACATCCCGTTTTTCGCCTGGCACCCTTTTTCCAAACCCCTCCTTTGGTACAGTCGGATTTTGGACAGGCTTTTGAAGAGATGCCCCTGGTACCGTACGTGTCACCGGCACTTATACCGGTTCCCCGTACAGTACGGGCAACCAGTCTCGTACCAGTTTCAGCTGCTGTACTCGTACTCAGTGTGACTTGCTCCTGTTTTCGGCATTCGGAATCCAAGACTTCGACTTTGTGTCCTTGCCACTGTGTCTGCGTCCGACCCTCAGTCGTGTCGAGTGAGCGAGTGTGTGTGTGTGCTCTCACTCTCTCCCTCTCTCTCCCCTCTCCCTCGGCTCTCCCTGTCTCCCTCAGCCTCGCGCTCGTTACACTTGGTCCATGAAGCTTTCAAATGTCTGGGTCTGCGCCCAGTCGCTCATCCGTCAAGAAAAAACCCTTTGTCGCTATGTACCCATTCAGCCATCTTGTTGCCGATCCTGCTACGTAGGAGGCGGCAGTGATCACCTCCTCCTCGAGCAATGTACGCTTGGCCCTTACCCACAATGGAACCATCCTTAACCAAGTGTCGAGGGCCTCATCCTTCTTGTCTCCTGTGAAAACAGTTGGAGGTTTCATTGGGGTCTTTGGGTACCAGGTTTGCTGTGGTCGATGACTGGACCATCTGCTGCCCAGAAGCTGCAGCAGTTGGACCTGAAGATTAAGAAGCACTAGTCTGCGCTACTGCTGCTGACGTACCACCTGGTGGGACACCAAACTGTGGAACAAAGGTGTCTGTCATCGCCGGTAAAGGAACTGGCGATGGAAAGGCTGCCTGCTGTCGGACACTCAGCACACTAGGTACGGGGGTTAGTGGTCCACCCCTTCCCTGCACAGCCGTAAGTATCTGGTCAAGGGTTGATTGTATGTCATCCAGTCAGCTGTCAAAATACTCATATTCAGCAGATTTGCCCGGATGATCTTTCCTGTATCATCTAGGGTTGCATCATCTATACCTTCTAATGCAGCCATGTCTGCCTCTCTGTTCTCCAATCTGACTGTATGATTTCTAATCTGATCTTGTCTTTTGGTTGCATCTTTGAGTTGCTTCGCTAGCCGTAAGCGAAGTAACTCTACTTGCTGGAGTTCTAACTCCTCTCTAGTGGGTGGAGGTGGTTGGCTGAACTGCGAGCCCACCATTTGACTTGTGGAGGGTCCTGCACTAGTCCCACTAGATGAGACTGAGGACACGACGAAAGTTCCTGAGGTCTGCTGACTTTGAGGGGTCGCTGCAAGAGCAGCCATAGCTTCAGCACTAGCTGCAGCTTCCGCTAAAGCACACTCTGCAGCTGCTGCTACCGCCCTAGCGGTCTGCAGATGTCGGGCCCTCGCTTCGGCCAGGAACCTTCTTTCATCCCCTGGCAGCAGAACCTGAATCACTACTGGAAGTCTACATGTATCCCGCCGTGTTTGCCTCCGATCGTCATCTGTCCCTTCTCCATTATCTGTACCGCTCTATCTGCACTAGTCCCCTTGCTGGGGCCCTCCACAGCATGTGCCTGACCAAGTCGTAAAATAAAACAAAATAATAAATATTCGGCAAGTCAACTGGGCTACCAATCAAGTGGTGTCAATAACATTTACACAAACTACTCAAATGATCTATCCTATTTTGATCAGTTCTCTCACCGCGGCAACGAAGTAGAACTGGCTAAGGTAGACCACTACAGTTCTAGTCTGAGGCTGTCTGTTAGGTGTTAACAGTCTGTAACCTCAACTAATCAAAATAAAAATAAATCACTTACACAGATGTATGCAGAAATGGGAATAAACTTGTTTGTGTATGAGCACCAATTGGAACCTTCCTTCCCCTGTATCCAATGATCCTGGCTGCATCATCAAGCAGCAGTGTCTGACGTGTGCACAATGGCCCACCCATGTGCCCAGGAACCCACTTATGACTAGCACTGCCCGTTATTTATTATCGCGTGCAATGAGCCTTACATCCGACTGATCTGGCTTACCAAGAGGCAATTTAAGGACAGCCCCCGAAGTCCCCAGGAATGATTTAACGTCCCAGACAGGACGACGATCACATCCAGTATTCAGTTCAGATCCCACCAGAAATCATTTATAGGCGGTCTGGTAGACGTCTTGCATAGGACTGGTCAGTCCATGTTCCCTTTTCAGCGCAGCAAGAGCTTAAAGGACAAAGCAGCAAAGCATGAAGTGCTCTAATCCCATGGGTTGGCATGGTGACTGTGGCCCGTGCTTCGACCAGAGCCCTTCAGAGGCACCGCACTCTCCTTCCAGATGCGCCACCAGGAAGAATGTCGACTCTCAAGGTGGAGCGCTCACGACTCCTGAACCAGAAGAGGACACCCAAGTTGGACTCACTTCCTCACGGTAAGAAGAGATTGAGATGGGAAGATAAGGTAAGGGAACAACGTACCTGAAGATTTCTCACCAATTAAGCTCGCGTGCATTTTGATGACCGGTCATAGCCTCGGTACCACCCACAATATATTAATATAATGCATTGCCACCTCAGCCAAAACGCCATGTCAGCATGCTCTCATCATCCCACATACATCCGCTGTCGCCACAGCCTTCCTGCCAGCCTCCCCTCTACCCGGGAGTGGCAAATCATGCCAGTGCCAATGTATCCTCACTGCGTAGAAGCTTCGTCAACGCACCAAGTAACAATGTCGCCATCGCCGGTAAAGGCGATCTCGAACCAGCTCCGATAAATTGCAAGGAATCTGAGCGAGAGTGAGAGACAGAAACCCAAGTTGCAAAATCACGAAGTAGTCCAGATAGTCATGTACCAAGCAGAAAGCACAATGCACCAAGATTCCATCCACATAAGAGCAATACAAAGCACTCAAGTGCCAATGCCGACACTCCTGGTCACATCAACACTGTATCCAATCTCACTCCTACTGTCTGGCGCTCAGCGCCCAGCCTACTCTAGTCAGCCTATCTAGCCTATCTGCGTTCAAGCGACTGTATCACACCGAAGTCGAAGACCAATGTACGTGACGTCAACACCAATGCCGATCACCAGCATACACCAGGTGCATTCTCTCTCCTCCCCTCATCACCCCTTGATCACCTCCTCACGCCTCCTACCCGAAGACCACCATCGCCATCACCTGCATTGCGCCCCTGCAGCCTGGCTATGGCTGATGTGCACGCGCCCCACCCGCAGAGCCCATGCAGACACTAGTACAGCAACGCAGCAGTGTGTCCGCATTGCCTGCCAAGGCCAGACCACCCCTCTCGGTGGCTCACACTTTCCTTTATGGAAAGTGTGTCACTGCTGGCTATCCTGGCCAGGCGTGTTGGGGGGGGCAGTAGCTTCAGTTGGGCCCCAAGTGTCTGCGCCCAGGCCCAGTTTCCGAGACTGGACTGGGCTTCGTCCAGGCAGACACCCAGCCTCCGAGTGCTTGCAGCATTCTCATTGGCTCGCGGCACATGTGTGACGACAATGCTGCTTGCTCATTGGCCCGTAACCAGTCCGTGATGTGTCGGCCCCACACAGCGTGTGCCCAGGGCGCAACCGCCTGAGCCCTGGGCTCAACTGCATAGCACAGCCCTTTGCTTCTGGAAAGAGCCTGGAGGCTCACGTTGCTCTGTAACCAACTGGCGTCCTGCAACTGTCTGACTTCCCACACGTGGATATTCAGGCCCGCCTTCACTTAGGGCGGGCACGAGGTTTGCTGGGGGACAGAGCCCAGAACACTTGGATGTCTGATAAGGGCTCCGCGAGGCTCATTCCTCGCAATTTGGGGGAATATGAAGTTTCTTCCTGCAAAAGAGGTATGGAGGAGGGGGTGGGAAGTTGGGACGAAGCCACCACAACACAGCAATCAGGTCCCTTCATCACATTCCCACGGAAACTTAGGGGCACATGCAGTTCTGAAAGTTGCAGTCAAGTGATCACCAAGTTTAAAAGTGAGTCACCAGCTAGAGGCGTTAAAGGTACAGATCGTGGCACCCTACTGGTATTATCTTTTCCTCTCCCAATTTTTCAACTTCCCGCAAAGATGATTTTGAACGGGCCACCCAACCAGACGAGATGAGACTAACACCATCCTATGAAGTGTAACACTGATATCGACGGTAAGGCCACAAAACAAATCTCACCGTCCAGAATTTCACACCCGACACGCCTTGGGGGGGATGATTCGACGGTTGCACAGGTAGTGTCGACGAGCCTGCTTCCGACACCATTCCTTCCCGTGCGCCTCCAGGTGCCATGACCAAACCGCTGGATTGTGAAGCTATATTCCCGAGAGGCTGCATGGTTTGTCCAATAGTCCCAGGACCTTGTGACGGAAGGGGTCCACCGCTTTGCGCTATCCCAGATGTCACCAGCCCTGGACCACTGCCTGGACCTTGGAGCCCTTTGCTCAAACCCAGCCCGCCAATTTGACTCATAGAACCAGTCAGGGAATTCCCTGGTACACTGCCAATCATGTTACCGCTGGCCCCAACCCCCATAGGAATACCCGTTGCGGCTCTTGCAGGACCACTTGCAACACTGCCTATTGTAGGAGCCATATTAGGACCCCCTCCCAAGCTACCACTGAATGGCATCCCCATGTTCACGGCTATGTTGCTCCCCATGTTCACACCCATGCCAACTCCCATACTGGAGGAGGATACTAACGGAATGCCAGCATTGGATATTCCCATATTATTACCCGTTGCCGACGCAATCCCCACACCACCTCGAGTCCCTCCATCCAGATTGGACATTGTCCCACCAGCCCCAGCGGGCCCTGCTGCAACTAGCCGTGGTGCAGCTCCCATCGTCCCAGCAGCACCATTGCTGAAGGTCCCAGAACTGCTGCCAACTGTGTAGCTTCCCATCGAGCTTCCCACCGAGCCCCACATCACTTCTCCCATTGTACCCACTATCCCACTCTCGTTCCCTGAGTTTGCTCTAAGATTGGCCATCATTGTTGCAGTCTTTCCAGTGGCTCTCATGGAACCTGAATTGCTACCACCCACCGCTGCTGCCATACTGACATCAGTCATGCCGCCTCCACCAGACACAGTGCCGGCATGCATTACCACACCTCCTCCATAACTTGATGCTCCTATCGCAGCCATGCCAGTGGCAGCCCCACCCCCGGAGGACGATGAGACTTGCGTTGGTAGTGCTGTGCCCGACATTGTGTTGTTCCCTCCCATGGCACCAACCCTGCCCATAGGAAGATTCGTGGACCACATTCCTGTGTTCTGTGGTGGACTGCTGACCACGAGAGGTGAAGGGTTGATAACCTCTTGCTGTTCCAAAGGAGCGCACACAAAGGAAGAAGAAAGCCACAAACAAAGTCACACACTCTTTAGTGATGCATGAATGTTGCTGTTCCAAAGGGAGCCCACACACAGGAAGAAGAAAGCCACAAACTCTTTAGTGATGCATTCATGTTGCTGTTCCAAAGGGAGCCCACACAAAGGAAGAAGAAAGCCACAAAACAAAGTCGCACACTCTTTAGTGATGCATTCATGTAATCTCTGACGACGGTACAGCATTTGGAAGGGAACCACACACATGCAAAGATCCACACCAGCAATACAACAGTCTTTGGGTCGTGACCCTCAGCCAAGTCGAAGTTTTAGTGTCAGAAGTTGTGCGGTAGGGTCAGAGGTGTGCATCGAGAAGTTCTTAGGTCAATAGTAAGAGGGTGTCCAAACTGGGTCCCCAAGGTCTGGGAAAGTCAGCCCAGACCCCAGGACAGTAAACATTGGGGCATCCCAGGCACACAGACAAACAACTCTCGGCCCGCTATTGGGGCCAAGAGGAGACAGGTCAGGCTGGTCAACACAAGACAAGTCAGCCTCCAGTCCCGCTGTGACATACTCTGCTTGGCGCATCGAGGCAGCAGTGCTGTTGAGTGTGTGAGCACTGGACCTGAGCAGCTTGAGAGAGGGAGAGACCGCAGCTGGTCACCATACCTACAATAGGTGGAGGTGCTGCTACACAATAGGTAGTAGAGAGGGAGTGAGCAAGGGGAAGGGATATGCGTAGAGAATACCTATTAAGACCGAGGCTTGTGGAAGAATAACCTTAAGAGATGCTTAGTGTAATCTCAGAAAGCGACGATGTCATTCCGTTACAACTCAAATGAAAGCAATTAGAAGAAGAATTACCACAAGAGAGAAAGAAGAATGAAGAAGAGTAGAAAAGAGAAGAAGAAAAGAAGAAGATAAACAAAAGTCGGGGCCAATGGCATCTCTCAACCAAAAGTCGGGACCAATGGCATCTCTCCCTCATCACCTCCATCTCCTCCCCCTCATCATCTCCTCCATCACGAAAGTACCAGAGTCAATGTCCAATTACTCCCCATTACTGACAGCACACAAAGAACCCTCCTTGCAGCCATAACGCCACTCATCACTTGGTGGCAATGCAGGAACATCAAGGTGCATCACAGACGGTCAAAGGAAGATGCAACCTCTACATTGCCCCTCCCATCTCAACCCGCCATAGCCATACTCTCGGCTGACGTCCGAACACAGCCATTACACAGACAGGGGCCTTCTAGATGCATCGCCAACAAATGAAGTGGAGATGGCCTGCCATAGCCAAAGGTTGGTCTCCTTCCTGGTTCCCACCACCTCCTTCCTCCCCCCACCTCTTATGCACCTCCATAGCCAGGCTAGAGGTCCATCACCCTCACCTCCATAGGCTAGGCCTACCTCTACCTCCTCCCTACTACTCTCTCATACCCATGGAGGTCTTCACCCTCCAGCTCCACATTCTTTTTGAAGTGTTCCGCCAACGTCCCACTCTGGGCGGAGCAGCCACAATGCTCACTTAAAGAATGAACCGAAGGGAGCCTCTTCTGCGCTTGGCACCAATCATACTCCTGGCCGAATTTCAGTGTAGCTCAGCCTCCCTCGGTGCCCTGGACCTACTAGAAGTTCCTGCCGTTTGGTGGGAACATTACTGCAGCCGGCAACCACCCCCCACCTTGTGAATCTACTCCAGTGCCTGTCTATGTACAGGCCCTAGACCTTTGTAACTTTTTGGAAGTTGCCTACTGGACTGTTACATGCCCAGTTGGGCGATGTACATATAAACCAAGGATCCGCAATGTGATGAAAAGGACTGAATGGACAATGCAGTGCAAGTGACATCTCAACAAGCAGTGTACATCCTGATACATACAAAATGGTGCTTGATAGTGCAGGGAAGACTTTAGATACAAGTCCTGACCTGACTGGGACTGACCTCTACTACGTGGTACAAGACAGCGCAGCAGAATGCTAGAATACCAATGACTAGCCCAATCAATGTTGCAACGCAGACCAAACATACATCATTCCCATCACAAGGTGTGAAGGGGCCTGGCGCTATACACAGGAAGGAGGAGCCAGGTCCAGACATACACAGACGAAGAGGAGGGGATCAGACGAAGAAGAGGAAGGGGGGAGATGGGAAAGTCGTCAACACCAAGTCTCGTTACAAGTCCCAAATAATCCCTCTTCAAAATGTCTGAAGTCCAGTGTCGAGTCTGGATCCAAATGTCACCAAGTCCCAAATAATCCCTCTTCAAAATGTCTGAAGTCCAGTGTCGAGTCTGGATCCAAATGTCACCAAGCTCTCTCTCTCTCTCTCTCTCTCTC